CAGTTTTAAGAACCAATTTAGGTATAAATCACATGATTTTGTTAAATTTAAATTTTTTTTGTATGTTATAACTTATAACTAATAGTTTCAAACAGATATGAAAGATTAAGAGTGAATTATACTCGCGCATCATGCACATGCAGACTGAGCCACCAAATACTATCAGACACCCTAAACATTGCTAAGTGCTTTGTCATAGGTAGTAATCTTTGATGACTGAGACATGGATCAACTTACACAGCTGTTGTGTCGTGTCGGCCTACAATAACATTTGCCGTTTATGGGTGGGGATGTGTGGACAATACCAAATTTTGTCAGCTGGTTTAATCGTATTGTGCTGTCTATTGTCACTTAAGTATGGATTATTGCATAATTTTTGTCTCAAATTAACTATAGTGTAGGTATCAGAATATAATTTTTTAGCATAAATAATCGTATATATTATTAAATAAAAATAAACTATGTATTAACTAACCTGATAGATAAGTTTACGGACAAAAGAATTGGTTTTCTCTGCTATGATGACTTCAGACATTGTTTCACTTTCTAAAAGTTCTTTTACTTTTTCACTATCAACAAATGTATTATTAAATTAATATAAGTAGTATAACAATTACAAATTACATGCATAATTGTTATTGATACTAATAATAATTTAAGTTCTAGTTACAGGTGTCTTAAACATAAGTTTAGAACACCTTATATCACCGTTGTGTCTGTCTGCTAATTATACAGTACATAGTTACAATTGTTGACATTAAAATATTTATTTATTGTCCGTAGTTAATGTACGTAAACTATACATGGAATTATAGTTCATAGCATTTTATTAAAATACAGAAACTGGGACTTAAGTACATTCACAGAGTGAGATATTCCAACTTAATTATATTTTAATTTTTTTTGATTATAATTATAATTATAATTGAATCATATTTTGAAGTAGTAAAAGACATGCTAATTTGTATTCTACGTTTCTACTTATTATAAAACTTAAAAATATCAAAAATAAATATTTACCAAGCAGTTTCTACATCTGCCTTATGGTTGTCTGGTATAAGTATACAGTCAGAGACTTTTGATGGTGTCTGAGCCTGTAAACAATTTTGCTTATATCGATTAAGTAGTTCATTTTGCAATACTTGTTCATCGGGCACAGTAAGGAAAGGAATACCTATTAAATAAAAATAATTACTTTAACATGGAAAATAATATTAAACTATTGTAAATTACCTACCATGTTTAAACAGTTTATTAAAGTCAAAATTGTGATTGCTTAGAAATTCCATGCTGGAAGACTGACAGAGGAATCGGCAATCTGGAGCATATCGACTCATGGGCTTTGGAAATGTATAAAAATTGTACGCCCTGTATGTAAACCTAATGAAATACAGAAAAATTATATTAAAATACATTAAATATTCATAACCTTCTAGTGATAATGTACTTTTTCTTTTCAGTATTATATTTGACAGCACACAAACCAAATTGAACCATCAAAAAGTCCATGCAATTACTCCTGAGTTTCTGATAGTACTGAGCTGCTGTATCGAATATGCTGACCATAGTACCATTGTGAAGACCGGTGAATTCTCCATCAATTGCAATGAAATCACACTCAGCAATGGCCTGTTCGATTTCTGGCAACAACTGATAGAAATCTAAACAAATACATGATTAACACAATTGAACGGGACATACAACAAAATATGTTCTATACTCACTCTCATTGACTACATCCATTTTTCGCGCACGACGTGTGGGGCGTGGAATCAATTGAGACGCTTGTAACGACCAAATCAGTGAATCATTTATGTTATAAAAAATTCAAAAAATGTAAAAGACTCCAGTAGTCCGGTTCCAATTTGGACAAAAATGTATAAATATTACTAGTGTTGTCCAACTCCGTGGAGAAATTAGGTGTGATGCCTAATTAATTATCGATGAACGTCCAGAAAATATTTAGAGTTTGTAGTTCGTATAATAACAAATAATGTCAAATGATCCAGAACATAAGTTTTGAAAGTGCAGTACCGCAACCGCACCAATTACTTATCACTAATCAGTAATGAGTAATGACGGTAAAAATAGTAAAATAGTATTTACTATTTACTATTTACTATTTAGCAATCACTAATGTTAGTAATGTAGTAACAATATTTGCGGCGTTTGCCGTTGCACGTTAGGTAACTTTCATCAAGATTCAAGACTCCATAGTCCATCGCACGTTATCTGTAAAATATTTATAATAAATAATAATATTATTTTAATGTCTTGTGCCCTGTGCATTCACTATCCGTTTAGGTTACTGCACGTGGCTAACTGTTGTGACTTGTGATAGCGATTAGCGACCGCCACGATTTAAGATTATCGGTCACCGCCTCTGGCCTCACCGGTGAGTAGAGACTAGTGATGCGACAGTGACAAAATTTGGTCGCCGTGACAATGCCACAATGGTCACTTTTAATGGTGACTGGTGACCATTTGGTAACCAATAACCATCATAGCTAGAGTATACTAGAATTTAGTGATGATCGTAAAATCACGTCGCTGTTTAGTTTGTCACCACTATAACAGCCTGTTTCACACTAAAAACACCTAAGTCTCTAGTCACCATTAATTTTCGCTACCGGTGAGCTGTTTTCACTTTTCACCACGGGCTTCTACACCAAGTACACCATGACTAAATAGATCTATTTACTATGTAGAAAGTATCTGTATTTTTATTCGTTTGTGAAAATGTGAAGACCTTCTCTACATTGTGCTTTGTAATCACGTATTTCAATATAGTGTATTCATCATTCATTATATAGTATAGTATAATAAGTATATGTGAGACTGTGAGAGACGAGAGTATCTTAGACCTTAGTATCTATAATAGAAAGCCTAGATAGTAGATACTCTGTGTAGTCATCACTCATCAAAACTCATAGATATTAGATATTATAAAATCTATGGTAGTCATAGACCTATAATAACCTAACCTCACCTTTTAAAGGTCTATGAGTGTGGTCTGTGGTAGTTTGTCGTTCGACGTTCAGTCTTCAGTATCAGTGTATCACGGTAAGAGTCCGTGCTTAAGAGTTAAGATCTTATTAAAGCCATGCTCAATATTCAGCACGATTAAAGATATAATAATTATACGAATGGATCTTCGCAGGAAAAAATTTTTTGTGTCCGTATATAATATTGCCTACATTTAGCCCCTTTTTTGCAGTTATCAAAATGTGATAACATTGATAAACCGATAACATCCGTGATTTTCATTATAAATTATAATATTATATTTTATTATATTAATTATAATTAAAATAGTTAAATACATTAATAGTTAATAAATAATAAGTTATTAAAAAACACAATATCGTAATTTAAAATTTAAAAATACACAATTCATTGAGCATACAGTATAAATGTACAACCTATTTACGTGGAACTACTATTTAAATTTTCAATCTTTAGCTATGAAAGTTAAATTATATAATACAATTTTAAATTTGATAAATATTTTCAAAATTCGAACTAATACAAAGATTGTAATACGCAACTGTGTAATGATATTATTATTATTACAGTACACAAATATTGTTATAAAAATAATGTTATTATAATAACATAACTATCCAACTAACATAATATTTATTCAGTAATTTAATAATATTATTTTATAGATATTATAATAAAATTATTTTTTATGTATGCTAATAATAATATTATTTAACAAATATAATAATCAAGCTATTATAATAAAGAAAGTATATTATAATAATTATTATGAATCTTGAACATAATTTAATATCCTTTGAATAAAAATCAGTATAGATGGTAGTATAGTATCATATAAAATAAAATAAGCTGCAAAATCGAGCTGGGACTATAAATGAAGAAAAACAAAAACATATTTTAAAAAATTGCAATAAAATTATTGAATTACTTACAAACGAATCAAAACCTATGCAAACTGAAGATATAAATACAATTAACATAAAAAAAAAATATTGAAAAACAACCACGTTTCTTTACAAAAATAAAAAAAAAACTTGAATTTCATCAATTGTTGTCGAGTGAAGGTAATATAATAAGAAAATCATTATTCCTTACTAAATGATACAAGTGTTTTAAATGTTCATTCATATGACGATCATTCTTATAGCACTAAAAGAAAATGAATTTCTTAATATATTGTTGAATTGTATCTTTTAAATGAAGATCGTAATTGAATAATGAATATTGTGTTTTTTTTCGAATTGTGTATTATTAAATTTATTAACTATTAATGTATTTAACTATTTTAATTATAATTTATAATGTAAAAATATTATGTTAGTTGGATAGTTATGTTATTATATTAACATTATTTTTATAACAATATTTGTGTACTGTAATAATAATAATTTCATTACACAATTGCTATCTGGGTATTAGTTCGAATTTTGAAAATATTTATCAAATTTTTAATTTTATTATATAATTTACCTTTTATAGCTAAAGATTGAAAATTTAAAATAATGTTCCACGTAAATAGGTTGTACATTTATACTGTATGCTCAATGAATTGTGTATTTTTAAATTTTAAATTACGATATTGTGTGTACGATATCACATTTTGATAACTGCAAAAAAGGGGCTAAATGTAGGCAATATTATATACGGACACAAAACATTTTTTCCTGCGAAGATCCATTCGTAATAATTATATCTTTAATCGTGGTTATCAGTTATCACTTCATTCGTTAGTTCGTAACCGAAACGTTACTCGGTAACCATTGTTTCATTGTCTTCTGTCGCTTAGCAACCAGATTACGATTCGAAAACGATAAAAACCACTAACTAGGAACATGAGGACGTTCGACTCGTTCGAGTTCAACGCTCTAAACTTTCGACAGTCGGACATTCGAGTTTTGACTTTTGAGTAGTGACGTACGGGTTCTATGATTCCAAGTCAGTTCTGCGGACTTCCTAGACACTAGAGTACTAGATAGTCGACACTGGTAGTGACGATGGAACGACAAACGGACATCGTGGACAGAGAGTTGCATGAAGGTACCTACGGGCTACGACCCACCTATATTCAAAAAAATCGTTACCTAGGTACTCATAAACTCATCTGATGAATTTCGGTGCTGTTCAAACGAATTTAGGGGGGAAAGCCGCGAGAAATTAAACTTACTTATTAATCTATAAAAATGAATTATATTATTTTTTTTTTTTTAGTAATTTATTCAAATACCTATTATAATCTTATACCTATCAAAGATTTATTTTTGAAACCCAAAAGCTATAATAATGAGTGAAAAACATAATGAATGACTAAAAAAGTGTTACATTTTTAATTTTATGGTGAATAATAGGCACTCTATACTTATACTCTACACTGTATAATAATAAATCTAAGACTAGTAGGCGAAGAGTAGATTTAATTTTAGGGCGGCTAAAATCTTCTTATTCTAAAATATTTTTCTTTTTTCTGTGACTTTTTTTTTCCTATTACGTTATCCTAAAGATATTTATTTATAACTTGCAAGGGCTTAACCCTTGAAAACAAAATACAATTTAAGTCACAACAAATTAAAGTAAACATTGAAACAAATAACAATTATAATTTACTACACTAAAATATAAAAAAGAGACCGCATTGGCATTTGTCATAATACATCTTAGTGGTTCATTAAATAAATAATGCTGGCTAGGTTAAGTGATGTATGGTTGTAGGTGTTGCTATATCGGCTCCTCCTAGTGTGGGCTTTTGAATGGTTATAAATTATAATATCATTTCACATTTTATTATAAAAACATAAAATACTTGCTTCACATAAATAATTTATTCTTTTCCCCAACCATTATAAATCATAATATTTGTAATAAATTCCACCCAAGTATTTTGGGAGACTTGTTAGATAAGGCATTAGAACAGTAATGTCAAAAAAAAATTGTTAATTTCGTTCTAAGCAATACATAGGTACAGATAGTTAACCTATTAAAAGCCTGTTGAATTCTTCTTAAATCTTTACTACTTTATTACCTATAGAATTATTTATTTATTTAATTTATATTAAAAGAAAAAAGATTTTTTTTAAAACTACCTACCCAAGTATAAATATTAATAAAATAAATTATGCTATTATTATTTTTTTTTTCTATTCCTAGCTGTTAAACGGTCTCTAATAGATAAATCTACTTGGAACAGCTTTGCATCAACAGTAGAAACTGAAATAAGAAAAATCTTAGAGGAAAAAGATGTGATTAATATAATAGAAAAAAAACCTGAACTATCTGAAACAAATGAGTTGATTAACGAGCTCATATCTGAATACATGGATTTTATGGGATACAAATTGACAAACTCAATGTTTAAAAAAGGTATATGATATAATAAGGTATATGATTAAAATAAAAAAAAAATACCAACTGATGGCAGAATGTAATTAATGTTTATTATATTATTTCAAGAATTGGGAACCACGGAGTTGAAGACAAATGGTTATCGGAAGCAGATGACTTCATTATTACATCTCGAAGACAGTGATGAAACATTGAAACAGTAAGTGTTAGGTACTCATCATTTATTATACATGGATATTAAATATTCTCTTTTTCTATTGATCATTATTTAATACAAGTACCTATAGTAATTAATATGTATTATGTAATATTATAATATTATGCTCATTGTTTAATAATTTTAATTTTATTGGTTTCAGGCCTCTGTTAACAGTGCTGATATCAATGTTTAAAAATAATTATGAGCACAATAAGGAACCTTTAGAAATTTACCCCATTTGAACCAAATATTTTTTTGTTATATATTATATATATGTGTGAATTGTTATGCTTAGTCATACAATATAATTTAGTGTTAAGAATAATATTGTACAACTGTTGGGCTGTAAGCTTGTAAAAAATATAGGTAACTATTAAAATATAAAAAAAAAATGTTTTTTTTTTTGAATAAGTAATAAACAATTTCAAACTGGGTCGCCATAGCGACTTAAGTGTGATCAATAGTACAGCCCCTGGTATAGGACCACATCATTCCTCCAATGTACTGGTACAGACTGTGAATGTATTGTTCCTATAATCTATTGATATTTGTATATACCACTCATTGTTACAATGTCGGGTGAAATATCGCAGAATTTTGACTCGAAAACCGAAAACTACCATGGTAACGAGGTAGTGACGGTCAAGTTCCGTACGGATGCGAATGAAACACTGACTCAAGCGTTCGACCTGAATACCGACATCGGTGCGCTCAGGTCGCACCTGCACCGGACGCTGAACACGGACCCGAACCTAATCGTCATCGAACGCGATGAAGCGGGGGGCGAAGTGTCGCGTCTGCCTCGTGATGGGCAGACGCTCAAGGAGCTCGGAGCAACGTCACTGGGAATTTTCGAACTACACTTGCGGGGCGACGGCATACAGCTTCCCAAGCCACCCACTTACTACTTGCCAGCGGTGGACGTCATCACAGTGGACGTTAACCACAGGCGACTAGTGGTGGAAATCGAACGGTGCGGAGCTGTGGACGGCCATAAGCGGTGGCTGGGGGGTTACCGGGACAAGTGCACCGGCAAGCTGTACTTTCATGCGGCCGCGCAGACCGATCCCAAGGCTGTAGCGACCGACGCGCCCGCTGTCCACCGGACGGACGGCCGGACGCAGACTTGCATCGACAGGGCGGTGGGCCGGGCGTCGAGCCGACCGGTGTGGACGCAGACCGACGACTACTGCGGCAGTTTCGGGTACGCAGATGGCAGGTGGGTAAGACCGAAACGTTACCATAGTTATGAGTCGTGGCTACGGGAAGATCACGTCCTGAGCAGTGTGCTCAAGATACAGCGGGCGTTCAGGAGGACTTTGGCGGCACGCGAGAGAAGACGTGTAGCGGCCGAAGCCGAAGCGAAAACTGATGACGAGCAACGGCGACTGCTGAGGCAGCGGCAATCCCGCAGCATGACTTCAGGACCGGACGGCGGTGCGGCAGCATCGGCTCTTGAATCCAAGCAACAACACTTCTATTCGCTGTACACGATGATCGGAAAGTGGTGGAAGAAGGAGCGGCAGCGGATCAAGGAGATCGAGGTGGAGAACTCAAGGAAGGCGGCGCAGATGAACCTGCTCAAGAAGGAGATCAAGTTCCTGTTGGAGGTAGAGAAGCAGCGATCAGAGCTCAAGTACGAGCTGACCAAACACGACGACGTGACGTTCCTGAACAAGACGTCTAAGCCCAAGATGTTCAAGAACAAAGCGGGAAAGCTCCTGACCGTGGACACGGTGGGCAACCAGAAGGCCCGGGCGCTAAAAGAGATCTATTCAAAAATCGTGATTCCGTCCGACGGCGTAGACCGGGCCGAAGCTCTCGACGAGCTACATGCCGCGGTGTCCGGGTCGAGTTACAAGTACAAGGAGTACTTGCTGGCGGCCGTGGCCATGGAAAAGGGCCTGGCCGCTATGGGTGCAGATGCGGACAACCTGCGGTCAGCGCGATCCCGGGTGGAGCAAATGTTCCGGCACTACATCCGGCAGCCGGACGTGAACCCGGAAGCGGACTCATACTATCGGCCTACCGAGAAACGTGTGCTCAACGTGTACACGTGCATCCGGTGCAAGCGCAACCTGGCGGCCACAGACTTCTCGCTAGAGAGCCGCGTGAACCGGACCAATGTCTGCGCAAATTGCGAGTGGACCGAACAGGTGGGTCACAAGCGCATCGACATGGCCCCGTACCGACGCATGTTGAAGGCGCTCCGACACGACGAGATGCAGAAGGCCGCGTACGGGTCCGAGTGTTTCTTGATGCAGCCTACCGAGGTGTACCGGCTGGTGTCCGTCGTGTGGCGCGAGAAGTCAGCCGTCGGCGAATCAAGTCAGCTCAATGGGCTCCGGTTGGTCCGGTGGCGTCGTAACGAGCCCTGGTCGCCGTGGAACTGCGTGCTGCTGACCCGGGCCGAGGCGGAGGCCCACTGCCGACTAGACGGTGACCCGGCCGACTGCTACGACGAGCAGTTCGTCCGGTCCGTCACCAACAGGCACATGATGGCCCGATTGCAGTTCGGAAATCTGGTGCAGGCAGTCGACCATCGGACTGCCGATAAGGCGAAACCGCTGTCAAAACATTGGAAAACGGTCGCCGATCGTTTCAACATCAAGACGCATAAATAGACGTAACCGCACGAGCGCTCGGTTTGATCATCTGAATGAGTCCGTATTAAGGTTGGACCTTAACATTTTTTAAGTAAAATCGTAGCTTATGGAATTTTTTTTAATTTGACAAACTCATGATATAGGGGCCAAACGTTTTAGCTAATCAACACCAATGCAACATCTTACGAATAGATAGGTAGCACATAAGCCCATAAATAGGAATATAGGATATTATTGAGATTTAATTTCTATAAAAATATTTTTATTTGATTGGTTGATGAGATATAAGATACGATTTTAGATTTTATCTCTATAAACCAATTGCGTTTAAAACGGAGGAATGGCTTAATAAGATTTTGGGTTAGTTAAGGGCTTGAAGGTTTGTGTACAATTATCCTCTAGAGTCTAGGTAGTGTTTGTATTTTTAAATTTGAGTTATTGAGATTTGAGGACGTGTGACTATACAAGCGCACCAATTATTAAGCGTGTTAAGAATTATTGGAGTAGGTATCTATATGTATATGGTGAATAATGTATTATTTTTAAGTTTTAACAGTACAGTAGAAATTTTTTTTATATAAGCATTAAAGTTCAAATATTGACAAAATACGTAAAAATGACGAACATTTGGAAATTATTTTGAGTTAGAAATTCATAAAAAAATTTTCTTTTTAAATCTAAGATTTTAAAATGTAATACAAGATTCCTTATCAGATTATCTACCATTATCAAAAAAAAAAATTCTATAAGAAAGTCAAATTAAATTTTTATGAGAGTTTGAATTTCATATTTTTACGATAATGGATATTCACTCGATTTCTCATAAAGCGATTTTGTTATTTTATTGTTATTCAAAAACAATTGACATTTGATCCTTTAAATTTCCCCCAGAAGTTAATAAAGTATTTTCTAGTTATACTTAAGTTTTGAAAACATTTTGACACTTTTAAAGCTTTATAACAATGAAACATAGGTAATCGTTGTTTTTATTTTTTCCAATAATTGACTATAAATACTTTTTCACTCGATCAAAAATCTTGAATTTGTGATGGCAGATTCCTTATATATTGTTGAAAGTGTAAATAAAAAAAAATCCACCCTACATTTTTATGATTGACTGGAGTTAATATTTGACGGAAATCGTCAAAGAATCTCCGTCAAAAATTAACTTCAGTCAAAATTAAGGAAATATGCAAATTATATTTCAGTAAAGAAACATAAACGTCGTTCCTTTTCTTGTTGGAAAAAAAGATTTTTGCAATTTTTTTGGCAATTTTGTTTCTCGAAGGTTGTAAACTATCTAGCTTTCGCTCGAAAATCCTTCCACCACAAAATTAAATAAAAGTTAAATTTGTATTAAACGAGCCATCAACAGGTATGTCGCCAACACCTAAGTTTGGAAAAATGTAACATTTTACAAATTTTTTTCTATCAACGTTTAGATCGCCATTTAAATAAAATATATATGGCGTGGTTTGAGGTCGTCAAAATAAGTTCCTTCCTTTTAAAAATCTATGTAGGTAACATAAACGACGTCTTAAAAACTGTTTTCAATCCCTTTCCTAGTTAGAACAAAGATTTATGCACATATTTATTTCTCGACGTCGATGGTGCCGTAAACTATCTAGCTTAGTTTTGACGTTCGCTCAAAAAGCCTTCCCCCACAAAACTCAATACTAATAGATTATTATATTTCTGTTATAAGTATTATTACAAGTAGTAGGTGTCTATTAAGTTAAGTTATTCATATAGGTCCTTGGCATTAGTAGTCGTCGATATCAAGTTAATAGGTAGTAGATACCTAATATAAGAATATAATATAAGATGATCTTCTAAGGCTGTGCCTAGTAGTTTCATTGCTATTATTTAGTATTACATAATCAATACTACTTAATGCTAGTTTTTAAAAACTGGATACTTACATTTGTATATTTTGTAAATCATGAACACATAATTGCAAATTAATGGGCAAGTTATTGCATATTGGCATAAGTGTATGACCAATATATATATAATATGTCAATATTAAAAATTACCGACTACAATAAATTGATTAGTGGAGTAGATTCCTCAACTTGGAAACTTTTAATTCTGGTTGTAACATATTATGGTCTATTTTTTATTATTTAATTCAAAATTATTTTAGTTTGGTATGTTTTGTCATTGTTTTTCGGCCAGCAAAAGTCTGCATCACATTTTTCCAAACACTTATTTCTCGCTTAAATCATACATAATATTATTAACTATTTAAATTGATTAAGCACAGTAATTTTTAGTACTATATAATATATTGAAACTTATATTCTCACGGTGGATACTGACAGTTGAATCGTTAACATTGAGATTATAATATTATTATTGTTGTTTTAACGAGTTATTGAGTTATTGAAGAACTCTTTATTGGGCCACATTGTCTCAAACAGCTTATTATCAGGAAAGTACAAAATGTCATAAATACATCACTGTACTTCTTTATTGTAGATTACAAATAGACATATTACATTTAATATTTTCACAACTAATAACAAAAATCAAAATTTTTTAAGTTTTTACATTGTAAAAGGATCAATTAGGGTATATAAAAATAAAACATCATTTTATAAAAAATTTATACATTTCTTATTTTTTTGCAACAACAAAAAAACACAATAAAATTTGTTTTCTTACAAAACGTATAAGTCTTTTTTCTTTTACCAATGTCACACTTTTATTGTTTTTTCACACTAGTCATTGGGAATCGATTAGTGTTTGGTTTATAACTAAGGCACTGATTTACATTACATATTATAATTATTATTTTTTTCTTGTTACCTTTGGACTAAAATCCAGTCTTAAGGTATTTTAAAAACAATTAACAGTTTAAAATTAAAAATGTATTATACAAGTCATTGTTCCTTAAACTAGGCACTTAATAAAAAATATAATAAATAAATTAAATATTGTTCAATCAGTCGATAAGTCTCAGGCTGGCCATAACTTTGCCCTTCCATAGCGGCAACATCTGATTGTCATCAGTGATTTCTTCTTGGATGCGGGTTGATGGAGATTCATCAAATTCAGTAGTAAAGAAATACCTGTGTTACAAACATTACACATTAAAAATTTGCTGTAAAGGGCTTTTTTTTGTAACATTTATAACATTGTAATTAAAATGTGGTATTAGACACAATGTCATGTTGAGAATAAATAATATTAAATAAAAATGTCTCAAACTATAAAAACTGTTACCTGTAATGTCCTTTCTTTGGCATACATTCAATAAACTGTTTTAATGTGATTGGATGACCAGCTATTCTCTTCCTGAATGGGAATTTTTCATCGTTATATTCGTACATAACAGTAGTTGTGGTTGGGGGTGCTGTTATTGTACTAGACGTTGACGGTGTAGCTGATTCTTCTGCAGGTAGTCCACGGCCAGATGATGAAGAAGAAGTCCTAAACATTATTATTAACGTTAAAATATACAAACGTAAAATCAATTTTTAGTGTAAAATACTAAATAGTCAATGTCATGTGTGACAGATTTATAATTATTCTGAATGACAGCCTTTTTCATTAAGGGGCCTGCTCGCGATTTTTCAAATTTTCCACAATTCTATAAAATTTGAAAATTAAATTTTATATTTTAGTTTCCACCTGAATTATAAGACTTTTCCACTAATCTACTACCCAATACCTAATTAGGGGGGGTTGATAGGGTGTATTATATCGGTCAAAACACAGTTTACAGGAAAAACTCTCACACCTCGTAGATTGGTCCGATTTCCGTAATTTTTTTTTTGTTAGATAGAGGAATATTTTTTACAGGGCGCATTGGACTTCGATTTTTGATTACGTAGCTAAAAACAAAAAATAATACAAAAACTAAAAAGTTGTAAAAATTGATTAAATTCAAACTTGTAACATCAGACTTAGAAAAATAATTTTGAAAATCCAAGTCCAATGCGCCCTGTAAGAAGTCTTCTTCTATCTAACAAAAAAAAAATTACGGAAATCGGACCAATCTACGAGGCGTGAGAGTTTTTCCTGTAAGGCATGTTTTTGAGCAAAATAACAGGTCGCGTGCAGGCCCCTTAAGTTATTAAAAAAATAATAGTTTACCTCTGTTTGTGATTCTTCTTCGTCATTTGGTCGTTGAGCCTACGCCCGGCTTCTATCAACTGGTTGTCTGTATTGGGGAAAGGTGGTGGTGGCATATTCGGGTCGGCAACAAATGGCTGCTTGGGCATGTGATTTGTCCAGGAGCCACTACTACCACAATCTACGTCGGCGCAATCTGAAAAAAAAATCAATACATACAGTAAAATATAAATACATGGTTGATGAAAAAAAATTAACATACCGTGGGAAGAGGCTTTTGTAGTTGTGGTATTAGCGGACGCGGTACACCAGCTAAAAGCTGGACCTGAGTCAGCAAGTGCATCACCACCACACATTGGACTCTCTTGAAGCCATACAATGCAACGATTGGTCGACCTGCTATAATAAGAATAAAACAAATTATTTATTTTTTCCTTGTTAGTCAATAATGAATATGCAATACCAATGCACACAGATTAGTTTAAATTTAAATATAAAATTAAAATTAACTTACTCCTCTCTTGTTTTGTTGACATTGGTAGGCAATTGCGATTGTCCTGATACAACACTGATTCCACTGTCAGTCATTGTACGTCGGCTACCCCAAGTATGACGTCCTAAACCTAATCATTAAATTGAATATATCAGTATTTATAATTTCATTATATTTCAATGTATGCATACTTGACACTCTGAGCTCTGGATTTTGAACAAAATTTTGATAATCCGGTATAGATCGACTTTTAGGCACATGACGTCCCGGTTCAGAACTGTCTGCTGTAAAGTCAGTGTAATTACCACTGTCGTACCCAGATGCCCGATTATCCTGATAAAAATATTTAAAAGTGAGTATAATATATATATATATATACTGTTATATTGTATGAACAAGTGCAAAACAAACATACTTTGTCTCTGCGTTTAGACAAATTAGGATTAGCTGCTGCCAAATAAGTACTGGCAAATTGCTGAACAGGCCGGTTGACTTTGCCTGACCCTTGTCGCCTGTGTAACAATTGTTCAGGTGATTTAGGAGGTGATTTAAAGTATTTTTGTACATGTTGATCTAAACGCATAATAAATGGAAATTAGAAAAAAATTAGAGAGATAGATAATAAAAGCAACAAGGATGTATACTGTGTCTCAAATAAGAGTAACTTAAGGTGGTGGCCGATGTTTATCTGGTTCTGTCAGACTATACCCATCGATTAAATCGGTTTTCATTTACTTTTGTTGTTAGCATACATTTCTGACAATTGGCCATGGCGAAAAAATTGCTTATCATGTTAATCTTAGCAAAATTAGAGCTAGGCGATTGATTTAATAATAAAGAGATTCTCCTGAGAGCGCGTGTTAGCTACATCAAATGACGCTGCCTTGCGCAAAAGCTTGCTACCTGAGGTTACTCTTATTTGACATAGAGTATAGGTATACATTATATTAAAGACGTAGTAATAAAAAAAATTACACAAGGTAGTTAAACACTATGTTTAGTTGGTCATAATTAATATAAAACAACGTTTTGTTGATTTAGATGTTAGTACAATATTTATGTGATTAGTATATTTCTTTATTATTACATGCAATTTTAACATTTGATTCAATAAACACACCTAATATTTCATCGTCACTACCCTCAGGTAGTTTTAAAGATGCTCTAAACATTTCGTCTAACATTTTGGGATCATCAATTTTGCCAGATTCGCTGTCAAACTTAAGCTGAAATCAAATAAATGTAAACAGTTAAATACAGTAAATAAAAAGAAGTTTATTCAGTTCACAAACCTCTGAAAGATTTTTGATCATTTTATTATCCCATTTCTCTTCAATATCACGTTCCACTTTTATTTTTTCTAACTTTTCAGTAAGTATAGAAGCAAACATCTTTGGTTCCATTGCTGGTTTCTAAAAACATATTAAGATCGTTAAAAATATTGAAAAATCAATGAGAACACAAAATTGCTTACATTGCACTGGGGTTCTCTCATTGTACGGGGGATGATTGTAGCAGTCATTGAACCCTCAACATTCCTACGAGCATATTTCTGTACTTCTTTCATTTCTAATTGAGCACTTTTTTTGGCTATTATTTTTGGATCACGAATCTCTGCCAATTGCCTAATAAATTAATTTTAATTAAATGTTTTGTTTTTGTTGACATTTTTGTACTTACATGATTTCTTGTTGTAAGGTATAAGCAAAAGTACAAAAAGACAAAAACTTACCTCCTTAAACAATCTGTAGAAACAGACGCTTCGCTAAGACTAGCCAGATCACTGTCCTGAGCTGAAGTTGGATTGTAAGATACATGCGTAGCTCTAGGTTTTGTACCCCACCAGGATTGGTGATAAGGGGTACTAGGGTTTGGGTTGTAGATGCCCATTTTTGAAGTCTTTGCTCTACAATTGATTACCAAGCACAAAAAAAAAACAATGCAAATACAATACAATAAAATACCAACAATAAAATAAAATGCACAACTATAAATGATAAATTTAACAATAAGCTTAATTGCTAAATACCATTAATAAAATAAAAAGCCAAACGTGTTTAAATGTTCCATTTTAACAATTTATGTGTAAAAAAATTAAATGTCAAAGTGTACTTTTTATTTTATAAAAGACTCATAAGACATTTCTTGAGTAAAACATTTTAACAACTAAACACTCCACAAATGATGATACTAAAAACATCTTTAATTCACGTGCAACAATCGTTAAATAATGAAATATATAATACCTTTGTAAAAACTCTCCTTTTTCCAGATGAGACCGTTGTTTTTGGGACATGTGCAAAAGAGACTGGGTTAATTTCATGGGAAAGTCTTTAGATTGCTTAAGTTCATTGCTGGATAATTCAGCATCTTCTTTAAGAGTTAACAATGTTTGACTGCGATCAGGAGGTGCTTGATATCTTGAGGGCACCACTTTTTCTTCAGTGTCTGGTATGTGGTTCACTACTTTACCATCATAAAAACTAAAACAAATAAATAATGCATGAGTAAGTATTTAAAAACAATAATAATTGAACATAACTAAATATTAAACTTACTCAATACCACAATCCAGTGATCGAATATAAGTGATGTAGGTATCAGATTGTAGGAATGCCGGATACAGTGTATCATTTAGAAATTTTTCTACTTGTACAAGGGCTTCGTCAAACAGATTTTTAGGAAGAGGTGTTTTGTTGGCAGTGGATACTTTAACCCTCTGCATGACATACCTCCGACATTCTTCATCTACGCCTAAATCTGCTTTTAGGAACAGTTTTCTTAAAGAAAAAAACAAAAATTATTTTACATCAATTTGGTACCTACCATTAAATAAAAATATATTATTATTATTATAGCAACAAGAATTTACTTGTAAATTATAGAACGTAGCTTATCAGCTTTTTGGTCTGTGTGACCATAGAGCCCTTGACATGCTAGCCAAAACTCAAGCACCTTGCTGCATTGTTGTCCTTGTCCAGTTTCTTCTTCCAGCTTCAAGTTTTGCCGGAAAAGATTTACACCGTTAGGATCAGCTAACAAGCTATCTAAGTTACGGGCCCATAACATGGGCCCAGAGTTCTGGCCATCATTTGGGGATAATGATCCCCGATCACCACTATCACCGTCGGCTGGTTCGTAGTCGTGGCGTGCACCACATCCAGCTGAAAATATTAATTTTTTTCTAATTAATGCACATTTATTAATATTAATTAAAAAAATTTTATAATTCTTTACCATGTTCCTGAATGCTGCATGTGCGGCATTTGGAACCAGCCATTAATAATTCGGTTTGTGTTTTGCGACATCTTACACATTTATTTTCTTTAAAATTGAAATATTAAAAAAATGTATTAGTAAAGTTTAGATACATAATAAATCTTATTTATAGAGATATCTTCAAAACACAATAAACTCACCAAAACTGTTTTTATATTTTTGACCTAAACATGCGTTATCTTCAGACGATCGCACAGACTCTTCTCCCGGTAAAACTTTTGGTCTGGCGGAGTCAACTAGTATATTATTATTCATCATAACCGTGGGTATGGAGCTATTGGTGTCACGCTCCTTACTACCTCTGTTACAGGCATTTCGAAATAGATCTGAAACATAAAAATGGAATTGTTTAAGACATAAAGTTTTTGTTCTTTGTTTGCATTTTCATTATTATTATTATTAAATAGGGGTTAATGAAAACAAAATGGCCGCTTAGTAGTAGCTTAGCTGTTGTATCACACAGCTTCACCATACGCTCAGTATAAAATCTCAATTGCCTATTTAAAATGATATGTTATGCCAAAACAAAATAATAAAATGATATTGATGAACGTTTCCCTCAAGGCAACAAAAAATGAATACTAAGGAAATACAAGCCCATAAGGTATGTTTACCGGTATTCGACAAACATTAGTTATATGATAAGTCAGCCAACTGAATAGAATAAACAGGGAAAAATATGAAAGTAAAACTATCCTAAACAATACATACCACAATCCATTCTGTATGGTTTTTTATTTATATTTTAAGGTAAAAAAAAATAATAATAAAAATATGATACGGGTAAGCTGCGCACAACAGAACCGGACTCAAGTAGTTTTCGATCGATGAAGCGGTAGTACGCAGAATCAACCCACGTTACGGTACCGCTGTATAACAACCACCCGGATAATCGATAGCGAATACAGTTCCGATTGGAGAATGGGGAACAATAAGTCATAAAAATATGATATGTGCCAGAAGTAGGGTCTTTTTATTGCACAATAGGATTTTCTAAAATTATGATTTTTTGGATCAATTCATATGTCTATCAACATCTAATAAGTGGCAGCAGGCCTGGTACAGCTTCCCTTAACCTTATATTCTTGAGATAGGTATATTTTTTTTTTATTGACAGGATCTTTTTGAAAAATATGGAATTACTCCATACAATAAGATATTATATTGGTATTTAATAGTAAACAAATAGAGTACTTCAATACTTGTAAACAGCTGAAACTAAACACAAGGAACTGATTTTAAAAAAAAAATAATGCATTGATAATATAAAATATAAACATTTATTGTTAAAATCAGAAATAGATATACCCAGTAATTATTCAAATTATTGTTATAAACAAAATAACATTTACTTAGGTGAATAAATAATTTCATTAATCAACATTTATTTTAATGAATAGTGTTTAGAATTTTTAACATAACTATTGTGAAGTTGTTAATTTTTACAAGCAAAATATATACTTATTGAAAATGTATAAAGCCTATGGGTAACTGTTATTATATACTTATGGATATTCATTTTTATTATGTTTGTTTCTAAATAATTTAGGAAAACATTTTTAAACATTAAAGCTATGATAAATATTATACATAGTTTATAATTATTCAAGACATATAATCAACTTTTAATTTAGATAGTAAAACTGTAAAAGTAATCATTAATTAATAATTTGCAAATTAAAATTATTTTATTATTACAACTTAGGAATTTAATAAGAAAAGAAACTTTAGCCCTGTTGATATCTAAATATTAGTTTGAAGTGAAACTGCAATCATGAATTAAAATAATGATAAATTAAAGGTAATACAACACAATAGGTTATAGTAAGATAAGATGAAGGTATTATTTTGAATAAAATTAGATCAGTTATTTGGCTAGGCAATTCAACACAATACCAACTAGGTACCAATACCAATTAAGTACCTAGTTAATATAATATCAAAAGGTGTTTTTAATAAGAAAAAGAAACAATTACAAAAGTGTATTAATAATGTAGAGGTAAAAGTTGGAATGAGTGTAAAAAAACCTAAAAAGGCTTAATTATTATTGTGAAGAGACTATTTATAGTACCTAGGTACATATAACTATTAATTTATTTTTTATTATTTCAACAAGAGATAAAAATTACTTTTACCTCGAAGTCATACAAAATAATATGTTCAAAGGAAATGTCGGTGGTTGGGGTGGTGGATCAGGGTTCTCAAAATCGCGAAGCTTGTGAAAGCTTAAGAAAAAAAAACCTGTCCCTCGAAAATCTCATAAAACAACTCAGATAACGATATTTTCTTTGAATGGGTTACCTTAGCATCTTGCTAACTAATAAAATATTATAATAATTTTTTTCTCTCTAGAGGGTAGTTTTTTTTATTTCAAAAAAGGAAAAATAAAACTGACACCACACTATAAATTATCATAAACTAACCATCACCACAACGGGAGCTCAGATTGTTATTAATTTTTTCCCGAGTCTTATAGCTGCCTGTAGTATAACTCCCACTGCAGTATTAACTATTAATAATACTACTACCGCAGTACCACTAACAAGTATAGTAACTATACCAAGTACGACGGTTAGTACAATACCGACCCGCGATTACTCTATACTACATTCCATATTATAACATAACATACATATTATTACCACATTACACGACAGGAAAGTAAAGGGGGCACGAGAGCAAACACCTAACGAGAGCAAATTAAGAAAAAATTTTAGGCGACTGTGTAAAAATCGTTTAGAAGTAAAACGATAATATTATAATATTACGGCGATGTCGTCAAATCAAAGGAATACGCGTCGGATGAAGAAACGAAAAAACGATCGCTTACTTGATTTTCGAGGGGGGGGGGCAAAGCGTTATTAACAATAATAATACTCGACGTTCGATGAAACTGTGAGCACATATCATAAGTAATAATAATATATATATTATTATTTTTACAATGCGACGCGGCAGATATCAGTAGCTATATTATACACATTGCTGCAAGTCTTCGGTTTTTTCTTTCGCGTATTCCGGATTCTCAAGGTCGGTGGCGACGAATGGGGTGGCGGGTGAGGGGGACGAAAAAAAATTTTAAAACGCAGCCGTCCGCGGCCCGAGATAAAAACATAATATATATCATACACCTCTATATACGTTGTATTACTATATGTATAAATATATATATATATACGCGCGTCCCGACGAGATTTTTACAACAATTCACTCTACCGTGAAGCGTAACCGCCTCGGGGCACTCGGCCACATGTAATTATTGCACCGGTTGCCTTATACCGCCGCCGCCGCTGCCTCGGCCCCCGCACTCCGCCGCCGACTTGCCGGCGCAGAACCGGTCGGCCTCTTTGACGCCGGGCTGCGACGCCGACGCCGCGCCGCCAGTTCGTGTTCATTACAAAATTACACTCTCCCTTCACCCCGATTTTCGCTCACCGCCACGACGCGAGCACACATAAAGTTAGATTTTTTTCCTCTCTCGGTCTCCGAGGTTTTAACGTTTTTTTTTTTTTTTATATATATATATTATATTTGTATTATTAATTTATTACACCGCTGCGGCGGGCAGGTGTGTTTTCTCCGCGAGCCGTTTGATTCTCGAAACTTTTTTACCCGTACGCGTTTCCCAACCCCAACCCCACTCCGAGCTATCAACTCTTTCTGTGTGAGTGTGTGTGTGTGTGCGCGCGCGCGGCCGACATATATACATTGTATACATAAATACGAATATAATATTATTATATATACACGAAACCGTATTAGGTATAGAAGAGGATTGATATATACCGCGATGGCGGTATAGTGTGCACGCGTGTAGATATAATATAATATTATCATATATAATAGATGCCGACGAAATGGAAATCGTGTGTAAAACCCAACCGGGTTTACACGCCCGCTAATGACAATATATTACATTGCGTTATAGCGTAGTATAATAATAATATTATAATATATACATTATAATACGTCTAGTAATATCATGTACATATAATATTATCTGACCTTTTGTCCGGACGATAATCCATAATCGTATGTGATAAATCGGTAACGGATCGGAAGATTTGACGTTTTTTTTTCTCTCTTTAATATAAATCCATCCGTATATAATATATTATGTATTATAATATTATATTAAGTTTATGTATAATATATAGTTTAGTCAGCAAGCGCAGTAAACCGAAATTTTACTTGGACACCGTCAACATTATATCATTAGCGAGCACATAGACGGTTAAATAAATAAAAAATAAAAAACATCAAAGGCCCCAGAGTAAATGGATTCCGGTTCGTTTGTATGTTTTTTTTTTCTAGATACTTCTTTACTTCTTTTATTAACCGTGTATCGAATTAGCGGCGATTCGAAAGTTAAAGACAAATCGCCGACCGGGATGAGATAAAAGATTTCTTTCGGGAAGTATATTATATACATTATATTATTATATTGAAAATTCTATAAACTCACTGGAAACGATGGTACATTGGTACGGGTCGAACAAATTAATATGCTGACCACTGGACCCTATATCATACAATATATATATTATATTATGTACCTACTGTTTTTATTTACTTTTTTTTTTTAAGAACGAAATACTCGATCGAATTAAAGAACCTATTCAAAAAGAAAATATAGCTACATATCAGTTGCTTCTATTCTTTACAAAAAGGACTGACATTTTACAAAAGATTCATACCCTCACCTATACATTTTGTTTATTTTCATACAACGAATTCAATCAATCATTTCATACATTAATATATATATTTACTATTATGATATGAAAATTCAAAAGTATAAATCATAAAGTTGAACACAAGTTTGATATTATAATAAAGGTTAGAAATTTTTATTGTCATTGATTATACTAATTAGTACTTGAGAATTTTTGAATATATATATATTTAGATGGTTGTATATATTGTATTATGTATCTATTATATACCTACTGAAACTTATATTTTATAAGTTTACAAATATATTATTTAATAAACAGTACCTACCTAAATACAAAAGGAAGAGAATCACAAATTTTTTTTTGTCCGGATACTTTAATTCTTTTTTCAATCACATACTTAATATATATACACATTGGATCTATAATTCGATAGAGATATTATTATATTATATTGTCACTTGTCAGGCTAATAGAATCCGCAAGGACATGAAAAAAATCTAGGAAAATTACATTTTATTCAAGTAGGTACCTATAATATAACATTATCTATAGACTATATATAATATATATTATACATCA